GGGGGGGCACGTGCCCCCTCTGACACCAGTCAGCGACTGGGGTGGGTCCTCCGGTGGCCAATCCTGCTGAGTGGGAGGTTGGTGGGGACGTTCCCCGCAGCCAATCTCGCTCGCTGTAAAAGTGCCCGTGCCACTTCAGGAACTCTTGCAGCCACTTACGGAAGTGGCGCGGTCGCTTTTGCTGGTGGCCCAGCTCCCCGGCTGGTGCTCACAGTGGGGACACTGGTGCTCCTCCCTGCCCCGTGCCCACCGGCTAAACAGGGAGTGTGGCCTGACAGGGGGTGCACTGGCACTCTCAGGAGCCACTACGCATTGCCTCTGAGTAGGGCAGAAGAACAGGCTGCCTATGGAAGTTGTGGAATCTCCTTCATTGGAAGTTTTCAAGAAGAGGCTGGATAGGCTGAATGGTTTAGAAATAACTTGTTCTGCATCTAGGGTGGGGGTAGTCACTAGATGCTCTTTGAGGTCCCTTCCCACATTATAAATCTGTGATTGTGTGTGTTTGTTTCATAGGCTCCCGGCCTTAGTCAGTGTCCAGAAGGAAGAATGCTGACTGTATGGGTAGCTGTTCAATATTTCTTTTAATTCTAATTACTTAATCTGTCTCACTGTGCATTATTTAGCTCATATTATTCAAACCCTACACTCAGCATAGAATTAATATTATCATAGGCTTTCTGGTTGTCTCTAATTTTAAAGTATCTTATTTCATTAGGGGTCATAAAGAACTCAATATTATAACACCTGTGCAGTGAGGTGGTACTATTCTGATTAACAAAGATTGTCTGAGTTGATAGCTCATTTGGAGTGCCAAGTTTCAGTAGCCTGAGGGGGGAGGTTTATAGAGTATTTAGTGCTTTATAATGCAGTGCCATTATAGTTGACCTTGACCATTGAGCTTGGTTTGTAGTTGTGAGTGTTAAGCTGTTTTGCTAGTCAGTTCACAAGTGTTTCAAGCTGAGTGTACAGAATTTGTAGTTAAACATTTTTGCAGGTCATTGCTAAGATGGTATCATTTGGAACTCTGCTACAGGCAGGGATATGATCTGTTTCTAAAGGGTGGGATATAAATGCCCTAAATATGAGATCATCCTTTCTCTCCTGTAATGCTTCCTCTTTCACTACGCACCTTCAGACTTTTGCTGCAAATGAGGCAAGGTTCCTATGGACAGCAAACTCATTCATTAAAAAACACTGATTCATTCCTATAGCTCAATTTTTCTAGTACACTTGAATGAAAGGGGTTCTTCTGAAAAGATGCTATGTGAATGTGTAATTAAATGCTATTATGCTGTTATGGCCCAAATGCTATTATGGCCCAAGAAGGCCAAATTATGATTGTATGCAAAACACATTTTATTACTTTTTAACTTTTGAGTGTTTGACTATGCAATCATAATGTTTCTAATTTTATGTTAATTCCTAAGGCTTAAAACCTCCATAGTTTTATTGTGGAACCATACTGCCTCTACATGTGGACCAGCATCTGGAATCAGATTCTTGATTAAATAGGAGGGAGCTGTAATGTAGATAAGAGTAAATCGTAGCAACTGAAAGCTTTTGTCTTGTGGGTGTTCCACTAGATGTGGATGGAGATATTTTCAATGGCAACAAATTATTTTGAGACTTCAGAATGTGTCCTTTAAGTACAGGCTCCTAATCCATCTGCTCCTGTCTCTCCTCTGCATACCAAAGCCTCTTTGTTTCCTAACCTGTTCATTTCCTACCTCTGTTCTCTCCCACCTGCTGAACCCAATCCTCCCTGTCTTGCATCTCTTCCAGATTTATTTCTCATTACATTTTGTTAAATTCAAAGAATTTATTACAGATACTAGTGAGCCAGTAAAAAGAATATATGGAACACTATAACTTTTGGTCTCTCTTAGCACCATAAGCATACTTTAAGATGTGTCCATGTATTAAGAAATGTGACTGTTGTGTTTTGTTTGTTTGGTTGTTTTTTTTATCTGACACTTGTACATTTCATTGACACTTGGCATAGCATAGGGGTTAGTTTGTAAGAGAAGACCAAGTTAAACTGTTGAGCCTAGCTAGAAAATACTTTTTGAAAATGGCTCTGTAACAATTTGGGTCTCATCTTTGCTAGTTAGTCAAACAAACATTTTGAAACTAATTGCATACAAGCAGTGTTTAGAGTTCAATTTTTGTTTTTAAATATGGTTCAGAGCCCAATACTTTCACATGTTTAATTAATTTGTGATTTAATTTCTAAGAATTTGTGGATGCTAAGTAGGCTATCTATGTGGTAAATAAATTACTTTTGCCTAGACAAGGAGGAGATACCAAACATTCAGCCTTTGAACATTTTGCATTTAGCACTGTGATGGTTTTGTGATGCTGGGCATTTCTGGTATGTATGTTTTGTATAAGGAGATTGTTTAGGCTTAAATGTGTATCTGTTCATGTCTGTAACAGATATAGCACAACATTTCTTCGTCAGTGTGTCTCATATACACTCAAAATGCTTTGTTTAAAGCTAACTGTAGTACATAAATGTCTTTCTAAATTACAGAGCCCATGGACCTCTGACACCAAGGATCCTAAGACGTAGAAAAGGATACAGAAGTGATGGAAAACCTGTAACTCATATTGTAGCTAAAACAATGACAGCAGAAATGGTGAGGATGACTCTCTGGTTCAGATTTTGAGTCAGACTAGATATGATAAACAAAGCCAAATAACCTAGGAGATGGTTGTATGTAGTTTTCTTCAAGGAGACCTTTGTTCATAAGTGAACCTCTTAATTTAACTGAAATGGTCTAATACGATGATAATGACAATGATGATAACACTGTCTAATACAGTGCCTTGGATGTGGGTGTGAGGTGTACTGTGTCCAAATTTGTGGACGATACTAAATTGTGGTGTGAAGTGTGCACTCTGGAGGGTAGGCAATGATTGCAGGCAGACCTGGACAGGTTAGAAAAGTGGGCAGTACACAATAGGATTCAGTACAATAAGGACAAGTGCTGAGTGCTGCACCTAGAGCACAAAGATATTCAGCACACCTACTGGCTGGGAAGTGAGCCTCTCAGCAGTACAGAAGTGGAAAGGGATCTCAGAGTTGTAGTTGACTCCAAGATGAACATGAGTCATCAGTGTGATGAAATCATCAGCAAAGCTAACTACACTTTATCATGCATCAGCAGATGCATGACAGTAGAACAAAGGAGGTGATTCTTCCCCTCTACGTGGCACTGGTCAGACCGCAGTTGGAGGACTGAGTCCAGTTTTGGGTGCTGTACTTCAAGAAGGATGTTGATAGACTTGAGAGGGTCCAGAGGAGAGCCACTTGTATGGTTAGGGGTTTACAGGACAAGCCCTATGAGGAGAAACTGAGGGACCTGGACCTCTTCAGGCTCCACAAGAGAAGGCTGGGAGGTCATCTTGTGGCCGCCTACAAATTCATCAGGGGGATGCAGCAAGGGATCAGAGATGCTCTGCAGGGCGCGTCTTGGGGTAACAATGGTCACAAACTGACAGAGAGCAGATTTAGCCTAGATATCAGGAAAAACTTCTTCACGGTAAGAGTGGCCAAAATGTGGAATGGGCTTTACTGTGGGGATCTTTAAGAGAAGGCTGGATAGGCATCTGGCTGGGGTCATCTGATCCCAGCACTCTTTCCTGCCTAGGCAGGGGGTTGGACTTGATGATCTGTTGAGGTCCTTTCCGACCCTAGCATCTATGAATCTATGAATACAGTCTTCTCATCCAGTGGGATGCGAATAGATCTACATTTATAGTATGTAGTCAATCCATTAATCTGAAATGAATTTTTAGATCATTGCTTGTTATGTGAATAGGATCATTAAAAAATATTCATCAGTAACCTACTCAGTTCTCTTTACATTAATACCTCTCTCAAGTTTTTATTTTTCTTGATTTGCAGAAGCAGCCTGCTGCTGTTCCTGTACAGATCACTCACAACAGGCCTCAGATGCCAAATCTTGCAGGCAGTCCTCTTCATATTTGCATTCCTTCTCCTCCCCCCACAAGCAGAGATGCCTATTGAAGTAAGACTAGTGTGTTGGGCCCTTTTTGATGGGTTTTGGCCTCAGCAGGTTCTCAAGGTACCATCCTCCAAACTGTGTACCCAGCAACAATCGTAGAAGGGGTCTCTCACACCTGTAAATGAGGGGCTATAAAAGGTCCCTCTGAAATAGGTGGTGCTGCATGATAAGGTGTTAAAACCTGCTCACTGGCAGGGTTCATTGTTTCTTATTGCTCTAAGTACCAGTGAACAAAACAGCTATGGAAAAAGAACTTGAACTTGCCATTATAGACATCATAATAGTGAAAGTGATATGTACTGTTTTCTCCAAATCGGCTAAATGGAACCATTCAGCTCCGAACCTTGTAGCTTGGATCTTGGCTCCACTCGAACCATTTTGATCACATTTCTTGCTTGACTTTAACTTCATCTCTTGATCATGCCATCAAAGTGACTGATATGCTTGAACTGGGTTGAGACAACTGGGACATCATGGTGGGTTGCATTCACTTGCAAAATTGTAATCCATTCTACAAGTGAATCTTTAATTTATATTCTTAGTCCATTGCCTCCTTTTTTTCCCACCACAGTGGATGCATCTAGTTGCATTCCTGAGAGTCAGACTCCTCTCCAGGGCTAAACGGAACTACAGACCATTCTGTGGTTTAAAACTTTTTGTGATTTTTGGATACAGCAGTAAAAGCAGCTGCAGATCTGTGTAAACCAGGATTAAGGAAGGAGAAAGAACTTCCATCATTTATTTCCTAAAGTAAATGATGATAACTCCCTTTCCAGAAGGTGGCAGGGGTGAAAAACTGGATTCAAATATGGATCTTCAAAATGCATTATTGGATTGTATTCACAGTCGTCTGGTTATGGGAGTTCATTGTTTCCACTTCTTTAGAATTAGAGGTTTTGGCGGTTCCTATTTTAGACTTTTTTTGGTAACCAGGCTCTCTAGTAATCATGATATACACACAAGCTATTTCCCTCCTATAGCTTCTAGAGCAGTTCAAGACTATAATAAAGCCCTTGCTACTCATGACCCATCTTCAGGTTTCTACTAAGATATATTCTGCTTCCTGTATGGCATTTCAGTGGCAGGGCATTTTGCTCTCAATTGTTCCTTTTACCAGCTGAAATTTTTAATTGGGGTGGGGGTTTGATTGTAGCAAACAGTTTATTCTTCCTTACTATTTCTCCTGTGGATCAGGTAAATAACAGCATGCTGGATTCAGCTACCTCAATATAGCCCTTCACTTCTGGACTTCTTTACCATCCACTCTAGCTGTCTTGCAAAGACTGGGGTATATCAAAGCAGGGTTCCAGATGTAAGGCAGCATTTACAACTCTTAGAGTGTGAATTATGCCTTACATGTTCACAACCAGCTGATTCCTCTTCATATCAGGGCACATTGTTTGGAGTTGGACAGGCATGCTGAATTCTTGCTCTTCTCTTGACGAGCCACATCTTTCAACACAGAAACCCAATCAAGGCACACATCCACCAGTGCACACATCCACAGGAGGCCTCAAATGCCTCTACACAAACGCTCGTAGTATAGGAAACAAGCAGGAGGAACTTTCCCTCCTGCTAGCTGACACCAACCCAGACATAGTGGGGATCACTGAAACGTGGTGGGACCCAATGCATGACTGGGCGGTGAATGTCAAGGGCTATAGGCTGTACAGGAGGGACAGGATAGGAAGGAAGGGTGGGGGCATGGCACTCTATATTAAGGAGGAACACACATGCTCGTCAATTAGCAAAGAATCAGAGGAGGGCACTCTGAAGTGCTTTGGGTTAGAATACAAGGCAGTCGAGTGGAAAGAGACTTAACGGTGGGAGTCTACTACAGACCTCCCAACCAAGGGGAAGAGCTCGACCAGGAATTCTTAAGTCAGTTCACAGAGGTAGTGAAGTCAAAGGATGTGG